CGAGTAAATGCCAGTCCATATAAACAATGTATCAGTATTAATTTAATAAAATATATTTAATCAAAGATTAGTAAATTGTTGACAATCGGGGATTATCTAAATTAAAAATAAAACTCATTAAGCTAAATACTTCCTTTCAATGTTAATTTGTATTTTGATGATGCAGGTTGACGTTATATGCATGCTCACAGAGAATGCATTGGGGGGGGGGGGTATTACCCAATGGAAAATGACACGTATCGTTACATGTGGACATGCAAAATTTTTAATTTCTTAAAGACTGTCTTACGACACCCTTCCCCTTTCATAAATTTCCGATAGAAGATTAACTCACGATGTACCGAGGAATATCTCAACGCAGTACAGGACGTTTCCAAACCTACTTTCCAATTCCAGACATTTTTTGCAAATCCGGTCAACATTCACTCCTAAAGAATACAGACACTTCTCTCTGGCTTTTCTGATATGTGCATTTTACGCTGATATCCTACCATTTTTATATGACTTTAACATAAAACTTCCTATACAGTGCACATTATTTCCCTATTTACTTTTAACAGCAGGCCCGTAGGAAGTAATTTCACTTTGAGGTGGCACAACCATACATTTTCAGTTGGGGGGGGGGGGGCACTATGAACTACCAAAATTCCTTGACAAGAAAAAAAAAGGTCATCAGACATTATTATTGAGGGGGCACAAGCATGTAGCAGTTATGTTTTCTACAGTATTCTATATATCGGCAAAATTATTGCCCCCCCCCCCCCCCCGGTTCCTACGGCCATGAACAGATACCAGATTAATTTTACATGTAAAAAACACTAATTCTGTAGATGTGATTCTCCAAATCTATCTGTGCTTTATACATTACAGAATTCAACAATTTTTATTTCGTAGTTATGAACATATTTTAAAGGACATTTCATTTAAAATTATTGTTCAGCTCACCAAGACAATAATTGATAACCTTCATATTTTGAATACGCTATCCTTAATATTGATATTAATAGATATACTTAGATTTAATGTACTTTTTAAAGAACTATTCTGTAGAAATGACTTTCTGGTATCCATTGTACAAATGGGTAAAATTTGATGCCTGGAAACCCTTTGATTTTATGTTCTAAAATTTACATATGGGTCATGACAAATACAATCAAAGTACTGAAAGTACTGAAAAGCGGTTAGCATGCTTTCATCTAAGATTCTAAGATTTAAAAAAAAAACTTTGCATGAAATGATGTTAAAAGTACGTGTAGCTGTTGTTCAATGTCATCAGAGTAGAAGCAAACATTCCGAACTTTGGAATATTTTACTAAATGACAAAACCACTTACATCTCATTCGTACACCAAGACATCATATTTTATCGTTTGATGTCACAAATGCATGTTTAGAAATATCAAAACGTGATTTCTTGAGTTTGAAAGACAGAAAGCGCAATTTTTTAATAACACTTTAGGTAGCGACCAGAAGTGCCTAGGACGAAAAAAGTAAATTGATGTAGATTTATCTACCATGCTCTATGGTTTCTGAAATCAGGTAATTGTTAGGTTGCTAGCGCACAATTTAAAAAGAAAAAAAATGATAATTCAAATAGGGATGCCAATTTTATTCGGACAGCTTAGTCGAATAGTCGGAGGCTTTAGTTGAACGATAGTCGAATATTCGTTGAAATTTAAATAAATTTTTCATGTCATTTTCACTATTTGTCTTTTATAGACTAGTACAATATTTAACCTACGCTATCACCATTATACAACGAATTTCTGAATCGTAAACATTTACGTAGTACATATACAATACTGTACATCTAAAATTTATCCAATGCATTTGATTTCAAAATTAATATAATATTTACTGCACATTTCATCTAAATGCAGGATGTCAAACGCTTGCATTTGTCCTTTCTTTTCATAACGATAGTACATGTACCCGTTAATTGAAGCCATTTCTATGTGCCGTGTCAGTGACCGTTGACTGCATTGTAAACAATTAAAGTGCGCCTCTTATAAAAACAGAGAGAGCTTGCGATAAATTTTAATTATGAGATTTTGTGCAAATATTCAATACAATCTTAAAAAGACTGCATATTAATATCAGAAAGAAACACATTTAATTACGCTCAAAAATGTCCCCCAATTTACATGTATTTACAATTTTGTAACAGCTGTTTAAATTATTCTTTATGAATTAGTTACATTACGTCAGATCTTATGGAATTGCAGGTTGAAACTTTATAATTTGAATCTACAAAACCAAACAATTCTTGAACGTCCTGTCCATTTACAACAATAAGTGGTAGACAATCCTTGATAATTATGTTTGTGAAAGCAACATTTTTCTTTCCGGCTCTGCTTTTTTGGGGCATTTTGCGGAGAACTTACTTAAGAAAAGTTTCACTTGAAGACTGTGTTTACTACATATATATGTTTGACGGATTTCAGCATATGATCCATCATATTTGATGTTCCACTGCAGACTACAAGTTCAGTTTCAGATAACCTTGAAAACCTACTTTTAACTGTTTTTCCATCCTGAAATCTTTTGAAGTATTCCAAAACTGTAGATTTTGGAGGCATATTTGCAGAACATAAATCGACATACAAATAATTTCCTTTGAACAGTTAAATCATACCCTGAGTTTTACTTACGAGAACATTGATCTGTATATAAATGAAAGGGGCGAATCCAAGTTTATTTCCTTGAATTTAAAATTACTTTCAGGTAACACATTTTTAACGAATAACCGACTAAAGAAATTTTAGTCGATAGTCGGTATGATCGAACGATAGTCGAGTACTCGAATATTCGTTGACATCCCTAAATTCAAAATATTTAGATATATGAATTTGGAGTAGCTGCAGATCTTAAGCTCGCTGGTCTAGAGATTTTGTCAGTATTTTTTCGAAGAGTTTCAGTTCTGTAGCTATAATTTTAATTAAAGGTAAACTAGTCGGATCAAAACAAAACAAATACACTATAGATTTAAACTTTATACATTGCTCATGGCGGGTGTGACCGGTCAATTGCGGATGCTTACTTCTCCAAGGCACCTGATCCCACCTCTGGAATTTTCAGGGGTCCGTGTTTTATGCCATCTTAACATGTTTATATTCGTGATATTTTGAGATCGATCACTGTTCGTTATCTTAGCCTTGTACATTTAAATGTTGAAGTTCATTAAAGGGATTCTGTATTTTTGAGGTACTGAGTACTTCCATTTTATATTATGTGCTACTACGGCACTACCCTCAGTGGAAGACGGACAAGTAAACTAGAAAGTCAAGTTTTAAGAAATGTACATTATTGACCATGCAAACATTTTAAATGTTCAAATCAGTAAATGCATATGTAACAATCATTTAAAATGGGACAAGGATATTGCAAATATATACAGGGACAGATACTGAATATTTGGCACATACTTTTCATGCAATACTCTTGATGTCAAAGAAAACGCATGAAAAGTAAAGTTGCTGTCTAATCCAGTTATATAAGTATTTATGATTTCACATATACACTTAAAGTAATTGTTTGATTAACAGTTTATTTGTCCTAAATGTTTGCATATTTTATAAACTTAAGGTTGAATTTTAGAAGAGGATCAGTATGCCGATTTAAGTTTTTATATGTTTTCTGTTTTTTAAAAATTAATTTTACTATTTTCAGTTCCCCATAAAATATTTTTTTTAAAAATAAAAGTATGTGATCGTTTATGATTGTTTGTAATTTTTAAAAAAAAGAGAGTACAGAATGTACCCCTGTGAGCTAAACTTTTATATTCTTTTAATTAGAGAAGAAATAACTTTTCAATATGAAAGTAATTCCATTGTTTCTATTAAAGCAGTTGTACAATTTAGAGAAACTTAAAATGTATTTAATGCTTTTAATAAAAATTCTTTTTCGTATATTACTTCACTTAATAAAACTAAATACTTTGGGGTAAACTCGTAAGAGAAAATCAAACACGAAAGTCTCGATCGCCTACGTTTTGCAGTCGGTAATAACCTTCAACCCCTTTAGTCAGCAAGGAACCCGTCTATCTAGTACCCATCGTGGCATAATTAGGTCAAATAATTAGGGCGGTCTATAAATTGTTCATGAGAGATGCTATATAATTTATACAAAATCGTTCAACTCCCAAAAATAAACATTAACTATAAATCACGATTGCAGGATTTACCGACGAGTTTATACTCTGCAGGTAACGCCTAAAATTCAAGCCGTGCGATTATCTCGGTATTAGCCTGTCAGAGCCAGAAAGGCAGTAGAGGTAGCGATGGTAAACAGATCATAGGTAGCGCTTTGACGAAGCTTCCGATGTCGCATAGGTAGCGCTTTGACGAAGCTTCCGGTATCGACAAAAATTGCGTAAGATCTTTGGTTACATGACATAAAGCGATTAGCGTATACGCTAACCGCTTAAAAATTGGATCATCAAGGGCAACAACTCATTTAAGGAAGATAACTCTTGATGAAAACTAAAATGTAAGGAAAATCACAGAATTTGTTATCTAAGAAGTTTATTCCTTAAATAATGCCACCACAATTACTTTTTCATTGTTATCTTATTATAAAATTAAAGAATATTAGATAATGAACCATAATAAGAGTGTTATTGAAAGAAAAAAAAATATTTAACTGGTGACAAAATGGTCTTCTTGTAAAAATAAATGTTCATGTTCATAAAATCATTTGCAACAAGCTTTTACCATGATGGAACATTAACATTTTGAAAGGGAAATATTTATAAATGCATTAGATATGTCAAAACTCTTTTCCCTTAAATTATTTCAACAATATTTTTTTACCTTTTGCAAGTCAAAAAATGTATGAATCTCATGACTCAATTTACAAAATTGATTTATATAACCTAAAATGTTTTGAAGTTCTGTTAATACTGCAAATTTATATTGTCTAGAATTTTAAAATGTACACAGAAAAATAAATAAATCTTTTTACAGAAATACTGAAGTTTAAACATTGATAGTGACAGTAATTGTATCAAAGCAGAGTGATAAACAATCTATGATACAGAAAGACTTAGAAAATAAATATCGGGATTTTAATGACACAATAAATAGTACTTGTAGTATAACTGTAGATTCTATAGGGATATTAATCTCATTTGATATGTGTGACACTAGTAGATGATCCATAAAACAGACTAATTTATTTAGGTACAATTGATAAATTCATGTGGCAGCAAAAAATTCACACAACTTTAGGACAACATTTTGTCGAATTTTAGATGTTCCAGTCACTCTAGGTTTGCCATCACTGGTTTTGGGAGAAAACACAAAAGTTAATCCATTTTCACCATCCCTGCCATAGATGAGCTTTAGATGAGAAAGTGCAAGCCCGAACCCAGCAATGTTCTCCGCCAAACTCATCTTCATAAAACCTTTACTAATTAGCTCACGCAACAACCCAATGTTCTTTGATTTTTCAGCATTGAACACCTCCTGATGAAATGAAAAATACTACCGTATGATTGTTTCATACATGTAACATCTGAGTCATTAAAGTTTGCAGCAGAGATAATTCTGTCCGACATCATAACATAGTCTACTGCATGTAGTCAAACATTTTTCTTACACTGAATCCCGAGCAAATTGACAAAAGAATATTTGATTTTAGAGCCACCAGATTTAGTATATATTTGTATGTATCAAACAATATAATAAAACTGTTCATACCTTTAAAATTCTTTTATGTTTCGATGGTAGATTTAGTGTTATCAACAATTGTTTTTCTCCCGAGGGAGTCTACTGCATGTAGTCAAACATATTTCTTACACTGAACCCCGAGCAAATTGACAAATGAATATTTGATTTTAGAGCCACCAGATTTAATATATATGTATGTACCAAACAATATAATAAAACTTAATACCTTTAAAATTCTTTCATGTTTCGATGGTAGATTTAGTGTTATCAACAAGTTGTTTATCTTCTGAGGGCCTCCCACTCTGTTGATTATAGCTACAAAAAGGATAGATACAATCATATTACATGCAATTGTTGAAGTATAAAATTACTGAGATGTGTGAACATGTAAATCCTATTTATATGCCTTATACAACATTTCATGGTGATGAAAATTTAGGTGTGAGAAATTAAGCTCCAATAACATTTTATACTTGTCAATGTCTAAATTTAACAAGCATTCTGAGAGTATTGCATTAGCAATACTAGTCCCCTACCGGCAAGTGTAATCTGGTTCCCGTTAAGAATTGAAAATGCCATAATTCCGTCAAAAATTAATAAAGCGGGACGAAATGCAAACTTGATCTATAACTAATCAAGTTAAAGCTACATACCAAAAATCAGCTCAATATCTACAAGCGTTTAGAAGAAAATTGCGGAAAAGCCTTAAAAATTGAAAAGGCCGTAATTCCGTCAAAAATCAATGAAGCGGAACGAAATGCAAACTTTATCTGTAACTCATCAAGATACACTCACATACCAAAAATCAACTCAATATCTGCAAGCGTTTAGGAAAAAAGTGCGGAAAACCAAGTGGGACAGACAGACAGAGGGACAGACAGACGGACGGACAGACTCAGAGGAAACCTATAGTCCCCTCCGGTTTCACCGGTAGGGGACTAATAACATAAATTAATCTTTTTTATAAACAAATATAATTATAAATGCTTACCTGTTCCAATCTGTGTATTGAGTATTGACACTGAAGTTCTGCATCCCTTTGCATTTTTCTCAGCTTCTGGGAACAAGCAATTTCCGCACTGTATGTATTAAAACCCACCTAACCCTAGTTTTATTTCATCTTTAATTGCTCTCTCGGTCAAAAATAATGGTCCGGAGTGACATTTTGAGCACGATTTGAGGCCTCTGACCAGAAACAATGAACATCAAACTCGATGACCCTCCTTCCAGCCATCTAACGAACTCTTACTGGTCAAAATCTGGGTTATACCATGACAGAATTCCTCACAACCATGCACGGAATCACAAATACGATTCTATTCATAAGTCCGATCTCCTAAAACAGCTGGGTGCATCAATTCATGTCTTTTCTTTAACCGTTCCTTTCGTGTCCGACTTTTTATGGGCGCCGCCATCTTGAATTTTATAGTCTCGGAGACATCGACTTATTTTAAAAGGCTTAATATTTAAACATCAAATTTGTTATCATTTTGTTGCTTTCTTTAATGTATCTATCAATTGAAACAAAAGTATTTGTATTTTGACCTTTGATAGTGATTCGAAGTGAAAAAGCATTTTATTCCGTAAACTACCGAGATCACACCGAAGTTTACCGAAAATTACCGCCTATTTGTACAATGGAGACCTTAAAAACATATTTATTATATTTCTAGACTGGTACCCTGACATTGGTTAACGGGCGCAAGCGCCCTAAAAAACCAACGACAGGTAACCACTGCCATTTTAACGCGTCATAGGAAATAGCACTGACGATAAAATCTATATTTAGACTGGCGTAAATCCAGTGCTGTAAGTTTTAACACATGAGTAATGGAGTGCAGGCAGAAGGCGCTAGCAGAGATTTTAGATTTTTATTTTAAAAGCAAAACTGGATTAATAGCAATAAATGAAGAAAGAAAGACGGAATTTAATTTCCTGAAGCCATTACAAAGTGCTGCTATAAAAAAGTCATTGACGAGCGACTGTATGATTATTTTACCGACTGGTTATGGTAAATCATTGATATTTGAACTTTTACCGAGGATATGTTGTTCGAAAGTTTTAATTGTGACTCCATTAAATGCAATTATCCAAGAGCAAGTGCAGAGACTAGGACCCAATGCTATGAAGATTGACGGGAAAATTCTAAATTCTCTAAGCAGAAAAGGTAACGGGCAATATTTATATTATTTAGTAGAGTTCATATATATACATGTAATAACTGCAAGTAATATTAATAATTAATATTAAGCTACTCACTAAAACATTTTTAAATTTATTATAGTGGTATATTGTTTATTTTTTACATGATTTATAGGGGGTGTCATTGAAAATAATTGAAGTTCGGAATTAATTAAATAAAGTAGAAAAAAGCTTTATATACGTGTCCTCGATAAACAAGATACTAGCTGTGCTTTATATATATATTATATTAAACTTCAGATTATACTGAAGAAAGTACGCAGAATTTTTTAAGAGGAAATGTCAGATATGTTTTTTCACACCCAGAGAATGTGGTCAACAAACATGTGTGTGAAGTTTTTAAGGGGGGTGCGTGGAATGCAGTGTCACATGTCATAATTGACGAGGCACACTGCGTCGTTCAATGGGGTCAAGATTTTCGTCCTGATTTTCAGCAGCTTTCAAAACTGAGATCAATATTTCCAACTGCTTATTTCGTTACAATGACTGCCACTGCAACAGTGCACATGCAAAAAGAAATAGCTAAAATTCTTTGTATGAAAAAATTCAACACTGTTTCTACTAATGTGGATAGAGAGAATGTAAAAATTATCATCAGGAAGCGTTTACCTTCCACAGGAGGAAGAAACACACCTGAGGATGCTTTTGATGAGGTAATGGGCCCAATCATAGATAAACTCTACCAAGATGTCGATAGCTATCCTAGAACAATAGTGTATACTAAGCTAAAGTGGTGTGGATATGGTTATTCTCTGGCCAAACGAAAGGCGCTAGAACTAAACACTCATCATTTAATTCAACGGGTGTCACAGTTCCATGCGTCTTGCACCGAAAAGGTAACTCGGCCTTTCATACACCTGAATTCAAGAACTGTATTCTACTTTATATTGTAACCCATATTTTTTGTTCATTAAACAGAATTTTTATACATTTAGTCCAAAGTTGAAGTAACTAAAGACATGTCCACAGAAGAGGGCAAGATTAAACTGCTTTTTGCCACGGAGGCATACGGAATGGGAGCTGACCCCCCGGATGTACATCAGGTTATTCATATAGGACCTCCAAGTTCACTTGAAAGTATGTATTTTAGCAATGTATATATCAACTTTAAACAATCCCAATACTTTATTCTGCATAAATTCCCAACTGAAAGGGCATAGGACTCTGTACAAAGGGTAGACTTTCTCAAGTCTCTCTGTTTTTTTTTTAATTCCTTGTTAATTTAATTTTGTATTGTTTCCTTTGCTCTCTGTCATAGTTACCGTAAATGTTAAAATAACATAGATGTTTGACATTATCAAAAAGCATTAAAGAGAGCACAAAAACATAGAGACTTGAGCAAGTCTGTAAAAAGGGTCAAGTCAGCTATGTCATTAAGTATACGTGTTGATTTTTTTCAGCTTATCTTCAAGAAGTAGGACGAGCTGGACGGGATGGACAGGGGTGTACTGCAATACTGTTTTTCAATATGAATGACATTGGGACACCACACGTCAAAAACGAAGTAAAGAGCTTTTGTTTACTTGACTCTTGTCGCAGGAAATTTATATCTGAACATTTCGGTTACACTTTTAACAAACTCAGTCAGATGCACGCATGTTGTGATATTTGCGAAAAATCCTGCCCATGTGACAACTGTTTTGCAGAGGAAGTTAATAAGTGCGAGATTGTTTCTCCACCCGCCAACCGAATTTCAAAGAAACAAAAATTGAATGAACTATCAAGGATCTTATTAGCTTTCTTTGAAGATGAAATAAACAATATGACGTACCATATCCAGAAATTATTACAGGCTTGTCAAAGCAGACGGCAGATAAAATTGCATCACTTGCAAACCAGTTAACATCCTTAACTGACATCAAGAGGGAGTTTCCAAATATAGCCGAGGAATACGCTACACACATATTGTCTATTATTACATTCTGTAATTCTACTACCGAATAAACTTTTCTAAACGTATGTCTAGATGAAAATAAATTAATTTCCAGAATCTAAAGCGAAGTGAATTTTCTTTTGTTCTATCCAGCTGTGTATGTAGGGTATGTCAATATTGTGGAGGATTGATGGCGATATATGCTGGAAGGAATTGTGAAATCTTCCAGGTTGAAAAAAGAAAGGGCGCACATTTCTTAAATCCTGAATGAGGGTTAACTCGTCACTAGTTGAAGACTTGTCTGAATGTTTTTTGGCTCGAGTTATGACGGAACTCTGATAATCAAAATTTGAGCATATAATCTTTATTCCTGGTATGGCCCTGGTCCGGTTGCTGATGTTCTTCTCTGTTTTATTGGAGCACATGTGCTTTATATGGGATTTTACCTCCTTTACCATGTACTCCATCCTCCTATCTGCTGGAATGTGGCCATCATACTTCCCATTGATGTTAACAAAAAGACCGTAGAACATTTCATTCGCGGCTTTTTCAGACAGCAGACACTCTTGGTAGACTAAAAAGCGCATGATTTCATATGCATATTTGGACAAATTATTGTGGGTTTTAAAATACAACATTGCAATTTTTAGTAATCTTATTCCCCTTTCTCGGTCAGGTAAGTGCGTCAGATCAATTAAGTCTTTGAAAAGCAAACCAACTTCTAGTAACTGGCAGCCATAGTTGTACATCCCGTCTGGTTTTTCCTTCTGTACTTTGGGTGGGATGTTTATAGTAAGTGCTTTGGCATTAGGAAGCTTGATTTGTAAAACAGTCCCATCAACTGTAAAGTAAAGTTTGATGACGTTAAACTATTTAATCGAGAATTAGATTTAAATTCTGTTATTTTAAGTGTTCCAATCTATATTACTAATATTTTAAATTTTAAGATGATGTTGTCCTCAGTCATACCTAAAACTTGTTGCTCGCTTCTCATGGGATATTGCTTTGTTGGAAAAATGTATCTATCAAGCATTTCACCAATTGTGTCAAAAAACCAGGACTGTTTTTCCTCGTCGTTGCCGAACTCTTCTGGAATGTGTTTGGTTGGACGGGAATGTTGATCGTCCATTCCAAAGAACTCCATGATGCATTCTATTATATATGCATCCACTACAGATATAAAGAAATCTTTGTTGGAGTCGTAATTATCGTTGAGATTTTCACCGATTTTCGTTCGACTTAATCTGTTTTGTAGTGATTTAAGAGTCCCGATTTCTTGCACGCTTGTTGAATTAAAGAATACTTTAAAGACCATTTTTAAGTAATTCATATGCATATGGAAGAGTTCAAATGATATTGGTGTGAGAAGCTGAAATCTGTCAAGGGAATTTTCGTCATGGGCACGCATGGCCTTGGCCCCCGAAAATCTTTCCCTAGTAAGCTGGTCTCCTCCTATATGTATTCTTGTTTCTTCGCTTACGTCTTTGCCAGCTTTTTGAAAGGCTTCGGCCACAGTTTTAGTGTAAAAATCAAGAATATGAACTACATCTTGATAGTATTGCTCATTGCGAAAAAGGACCGGCATGGGGATGACGTGGGTTTTTTCCTTTAGGTGTAAACTACACGGCTTGCTTATATTTCGTGGGATGATAGACTCAAATTGCTCAAAAAATGGCAGAAATTTTATTGCAACTCTTGCAATTAAAATTGCGTAGTCTCTCTTAGTTTTCTTCATGTCATCAACTGATGGCAGGAACGTTTGCAGTGCTGTGGCTTTGTACTCTCGTTGAGGGAATATATCACTCAAGTGATCAAAATTAATATTTTGCACGAGGATAGCAGATCCAAAAGCATGATGAAACTTGTCTTTGTTATCTATCCTCTGGTCATGGACGCCAACTTTCCAGTTGATATTATCACCTACTATTCTAAATCGCCGACCTTTTCTAACCAGTTCCACCATTTCATCGTTAAAATGACCCCCTATTTGGTCAACGAGTTTCAAACTCTTTGCATAACTGAGACAAACGCCAACTTTCTGGAGACGATCAAATACCTAAAAAAGTAAATACAGTACTTATTGACTTCTTAAGATACAAGTACTTAAATAACAAGAAATAATTTTAAAAAAAACAAACAAACAAACAAATATTCAAAGATTGTACCTTTTGATCACAAATGTTGTCAAACAGTAACATGGAAATTACTCGCTGTGTGTGACTCAGTTCTACATTTCTTGTTTGAGCGATGATTCCGTAAACCATGGCTAGCCTAGGAATTACTGATTGAATTTTTGTAAAGCATGGCAGGTCTTCTGAGCGAAGCATCATGGAAACTATGAGACTAAATACATGAGGAAATTTACTTTGAAATTCCGTTACAACTTCAATCCATTGTGAACTTTTCAAGTCATCTACAGATTTCTTCATAAGTTTGCTTACAAATGAGTGCTTACGATTATTCAAACTTCTCGAAGAATAGTCTACATTTTTCATTAGCAGTCTGATGACAGCTTTTTTCAGGTTTTCATTTTCTATAATGACCGCAGACAATTTGTGTAAAGACTTTGTCTGACAGGCATTCAGTAGTGAAGTGCATTCGTCCTCTGTCAGATTACCAAGGTTGTCACCTGTATATGATGTTATATTCTTACACAGGTTCTCAATTTGGGGATGGAAAGCATTTGAGATTGGCACTGATCCTGTGTAGGTGTGGTCTACATGGGTGAATTTTATTGATTCTTGTACCGTGGCATTAGATTTCATATTTTTTAACCTAGGGATTTTACTAGGACTTCTACTGGTGCAATAGTAGTCGTGGTCATGTACCGTTACGGGTGTTTTGTCTTTGTCCATATCTTTAGAATAAAAGCGAAAATACTATAGTACCTTAAGTCCATTAGAAAATATAAACTTTTAGACTCTCAAGTAAATTAAACAATATACACTGTAGTAATAAATGATAAGAATGAATCAAATCATCGCTTTACTTGATGATAGGCATGTACAGTAAATTATAAACAAAGTCAACATTGATATATGAATATATATATATATCATTTGTACTGTTAATTAATATACGTAAGATAATTGCCCATTATATACTAGTATTTAATTTATTACCTACCTTTTAATTTTTTAATACTATTTTGAGAGCTGCTTATGGTAGTTGCTGAAGCCTGCATTGGAAACAAACACACGTGTGCTTTTTTGGCAGTATCACCCACGAGGCTTCTTTTTTCGGGTTGTCTTTCAACTGCTGGGGAAGATGCCATTCTTTTGCTTCTAAGATGCGTGCCTGTTGCATTTTTTTGACAGTTCTCATAAAATTCTCGACATTTTTGATCAAGTGTATCTAATTTCTGGAAACAATTTCGACACACAATTCCACTTTCAATATTAACGCCTCCATATTTCTTAAGCAGATCCTTTAAATTTTGGCCTCTTATTTTAGCAGATTCTACTTTCCTTATTTCCCTAGGAAAATTACAACAAACTAAACATTTTTTCACAGCATGAAGCTTGCGAGGAGTTACACTCTCCATTTGTGGTCATACATTATCGTTCACATCTATTGAATTATAATTGAATTATAAACCAACATTTATATGAATTCTACCGAACTCTAAAAATTCTCTGACAAAAATGGGGCAAAATGAACTTTTCATAAATCAATTAATGCGACATACTTTGTACCATTATTTGTACAAGTTTATCAGGATACAGAGGGAATGGCCTTTAATTTCATCTGCAACTCCATCACTCAGACAGTTATAGGTCTCTGTGTCAGTATCGCATTTCACATACCTTACGCAAGTTAATTGGAACAGTTCATTTTGACATTTCGTGAACTAGAAAAATTTACACATTAAAAACAACTCAGTCAAAACTGCCATTTCATTAAAAATATAATGATTATTATTTTTGCCATTTGTATTGTTTAATTATTCAGTTTAAATATACTGCGTGTGTAAACTCTGATGTTTAAGTCTCTGGATCCGCCTAACATTATTTAATGAAAGGCCGGATGCCATTTATTTTTAGATTGCGCACTGACTATGCGCGGCAAAGCAGTGAGATTTTCCACTGTCATGGCGGCGGTGGTTACCTGTCCTTGTAATTCCTAGCGGCAGCGACTGGAATCAAGGGCAGAGAACCAGTGCTATTATATTTCCCCATTCGTAACTACTCGGCCATTTTCCGAGAGAGAAATAACCTCGTAAACAGAGAGGAGAAAACCTTCTTGAATTGTTTGCCGGAAGTAAATCCGCATATAGTTCTGAAACATGGAGGAGAGACTCGAATTTGCTTGAAATAAACTTGGAATTGAATTTTCACTAAAGGAAAAACAATTGGAAACTCTAAGAAATTTATGGGAGAGATGGGATGCTATAAGTGTGTTACCAACTGGTTACGGTAAAAGTGTCTGTATCAATTACTTCCGTGATTTTTACAAGGCGATAGAGAAAAAGCTGGAATCGTGATTGTCATTGCCCCCTTGACCTCGATTATTGTTAACCAGGTGTCATTTTTATCTTCTAAGGGAATAAAGGCCCTATGCTTGAACTTTGAAGGAACTGGGTGTCGTTCCGCGGATGAGGAAGAAACTGTCTCGAAGGTATCAAAAACGTATATATAATAATTATAACATTAATCTGTACAGATCAGACTACAAGTCTCTATAACTTTTTCACAGGTCTGGTACATATCTTCATCATTTATTTATATATGTACGGAGTCACACTGCGGAAAGTTAGCATCCCCCTACCCCCAGGATGTACAAAAAGCACTTTGATGCAGTGATTGTATATCTAAAGTAAAAAGCCAAAATTGAAAAGAAAACTTGTATTGAAAATGCTAAATAAAGCTACCTCAATTAGGTAATCAAAGCCATGGTAGGTAATTCAAGCTAGACCTGTTTCAGATTGTCTGCGAGGAGATGCAATGGCCACCATATCAGTCAAATAATTTCAAAGTTCTTAATATTTTCATGTACACTGTCATTTTTATGAAAAAAATGAGCAACAAAATCAGGCTGTCTTTTTCATAAATCATCTTTTTTGCCTTTTATTAGCAATGCCATATCAGCCTTTTTTATCTTGTATATGCACTATCATTTTTGGCTTTATTTCATTTGAATACAGATACTTTAATAATGTTATTTAGGTCTGACTTGCTGGTGAACTGTTTCACAATAAAGTCTTTTTCATTGAAACTGTTTCATGATAAAGTCTATTTCATTGAAACCCTCTTTTTACAGAGATTTAACTATACTTAGACAATACTTTTAAACTATCATAAAATTCTAAAAGTACAGATAGAAGATGGAAGAACTTCAGATATTGTGGAAGGATTTGTACTATAGTCAACACTGTGAATGAACACAAAACTCACCAGGATCATTTAATTGCAATCTTTTATACTCAGTGAGAATGCATTTAAATTCTGGTCATGGTGTATCAAATGCTTCAACTACCATTACCACTACCAAATAAAAGTATTAAAAAATTATTTGTTGTTGTTTTAAAGCTGGTCACAAAAGATATGCAGCGTATCATAGATGGTGATGTTGAGATCCTTTACAGTCATCCAGAAGCAATTTTTTCTAAAAAGATTGGTAGGATTCGGAGGTCAAAAGTCTTTCAGGAGTATGTTTGTTGTGTAACCATTGATGAGGTTCACATGACAGAGGAATGGTAAGGAAAGACAAAAAATCCAGTATTTAACATTCCATTAAAATGTATATATCAGTCTCTCATATGGTAAATGACTGTAAGATAAACGAAAAAAGTCAAAACATCTCACACAACTCCAGGACAGTCCTTCATTAAAATGATCCGAATCATCTAAAATCCTAGACACTCATCCACATTTGTTAGGTGACCAAATACTGTTCATCCTTTATAAGGCTTTGCATTGGTTTTTCCTTGAATGAAATATATTTACAGGGGTGAAGAATTCAGACCAAAGTTTAAAAAACTTGGAGACTTAACCTGTTTGTTTCCATCTGCGGCACATTTATCACTAACAGCAACAGCGACTGAAACCTCAATAGAAAGTCTTGGAAAAGTGCTGCAGTATATAAATCCAGTTATTATTTAAGCCAATCCTGACAGGCCAAATATTTTCCTAGAAAAGATTGTGCGACCTCCTAATATTAACAAAGTCAAAAAGTTAGACACAATTATTGAACCTCTGTGTGAGGAGCTGAAAGAGAAGAGGGAAAATTTCCCTGTGACTATTGTTTATGTCGAAAATTTAGAGTCGTTGGGTTACTTTTATCAGTATGTGAACTCTGAATTAAGGGAGCATCAGTATGTAGGTGAACCGAATCCAGAAAACCGAATCTTTGCACAATTCCACAAAGATTACACAGAGGCAATGAAAAGCCATGTGATAACAGAGTTAAAAAAAGAAAACCCTACTCTTCGTTTAGTATTTGCAACAGTTGCACTTGGTATGGGTTTGGATGCCAGGTGCATTACCAGGATCATCCACTGCAGGCCTCCTACGACACTTGAAAAATATCTTCAAGAAATCGGTAGAGCCGGTAGAAATGGAGCCCAGTGCACAGCAATACTGTATTTCAATAATAACGACATTGCCAAAAACAGAAAGGGACTAAGTGAAGAAGTCATCCAGTATTGCAAAAATTCTGAAACTTGCCTCAGACTTTTTATATTAAAGTACTTTGGATTTAACCAGTCATTATACTGCGGACCACCAAAAGATTGCTGCAGCAATTGCAGGAGTAAAAGTTTGAGTTAAACTTATAAGGTAATTTATATTATTTTATAATTTATATTATTAAGGTGGTGAATGCAAATGACCTAAGCTCATTAACATAGATCTGAAATGTACAAGTACATACCTGATATACACAAAACTCAATCTTCCTCCTCTGCAGAAAATGCGTCTGACTCTTCGCCATTTTCTTGTTCTTCATCATGATCCTCATCATCTTCGGGTGGAATTGGAATGTCCCTCAGCAGCCTCGTAATGGTATTTTTTACTGTCACTTGAAATAGCGTTGGATCAAATGAGAAAGGCGATTTCTCAAAACCTTTGAATGAATTCAAACATCGATCCTTATGAATCCAGGGAGAGTTTTTCTTCAGAACTCTTATCATTGCCTGAATGTCCTCCTTAGATGATCTTTTCTTATGACTAGTTGTAATTTTTTTAATCAGTATCATATTGTCATAATTTTGAACTATATTTTGTATGACAGGAGCTGCTTTGGAAATGGCAACAATGGAATTTTCAGTCTTGTTTGCCCCTAAACCTCTAATTAAATCTTTTAATAACTTGACCTCATTTTCCTTATGCATATCTGCTGCCTTATTTTTTCCTTCACCTCCATGAACATTTACAAATGATGCTGCACGAACTCTTAAAGCAAAATCCGGGGTAGAGTGATTTCTGTTTTCAGAATATAATCTATGCACTCGGTGAAATATTTTGACAATGCTGAGTGAGAGTAAAAAAATGGAATCATTGTTTTCAAAATGATATTGGTTCTTGTTATATCACCTTCATGAATAGTGTCTTGAAATTGAAGAACTACAAAATACCATTGGAGGTAATTCATAACATAGTTATGAAGGTCGTCTTGATGGCCGTTGTCTTGATCTGTGCACTTTATGTAGAGTTCCACTCCATCGACATTCACTTTGCATCCTTCTCTCACTCTTGGTAAAGAAACTTTAATGTGGAAAGAGTTACTATTAATCAGGATAGGAATTGTCACTATTTGTTCAACAATATTTGAAAGAACATTGAAAGACTGTCCTCCAACTTGTACACATATGTTGACTTTGTTAGGATCCTTTGGAAAAGAAAATAAGATTTCTATTACCGATATTTAAAAATATTTGCTATATAAAGAGCATTTCAAAGTTAAATTTTTTTAAAATCATACCAACAATATCATACTGACCTGAGTTTTAAATGGAATATACAGGTCTGCTACAATTTCATTCAGCAAATCATCAAAAATGGCCTTTTTTCTTGTCAGATGAAGTTTGGCAATATTATCAGGAACAGCATCATGCACAGGTTTGTCAGACAAATTGGCCATATGAAACTTCTCCATCATGTAAGTCAGGAAGTATGAATGGCCCACAGAAGTGAAAAAATCTTCATGTGCCTATTTAGTAGTAAAAAATTATAATGCTGACAATTATCTTTGAATTGGAGATTCAATAATTTTATCACAGAGCAGAACAATTTTTCTAATGTGTAAAAATTTAAAAATTCCATCTGAATAAATCACTACCTTAAATCTACTTTTCACATTTCCATTTACATTTGTCCTTTGGATTTCTACTTTTAGGTTGGCCAAAGTTCCCACATCTCTCCCTTGGTTTAATTTCAAGAACTTCTTGCACATTTTCTGTAAAATAAAATGAGGTGTCTGAATAGAAATATGTTGTTTAAAATTTTAATTAATAATGCATATATTTAAACAGATTAGAATGAAATTTACAACTGAATTTTAGAGTTTAATAATTGGATGAAAACGTTGTTGGACTTTACCTCTATAAAGTCCTGTAAAGTGTGAAACAACTCAATGATGATGGGATTAAGTTGTTCCATCCGCTCCTGTATGGTGTGGCAACCAGCACGCAATGCTTTTGCACCTTGAAATCTTACTCTTGTTAACTGGTCCCCACCTACAGGAACTTGGAGTCCTTCTAACTCACTTGCTGTGAGAAATAAAGTGGATCAATTGATTCTAAGTACTAGATTTACATTTATGTATAGTGATTTTTTTTTAAATGTCAATATAGTTGAATATACAGTTATTTGTTACAGGTACTTTACTCACTGTTTCCAGAATTATTTAAAATAAAGACTAAATCATGAATACTCTCTTTAATATGTTATTTATAGTTTGAAACAAGGAAATACCCCGGTATATAATATAATACCTCTGCCTGCTTTTCTGTACCATTTGTTAATCCATTCAGTATATTCCTGTAGTATTTTGAGACAACCTTCATATGAACACTCATTGTTCAAGGACAAGGGCATGGGATGTATTATTGAAGGCTTGGCCATTTCCTCCTGATAGAGATGGGGAATATGTCCAGGTATTACCTTTGAAAACCACTCAAATGCAGGAATATTTTCTGCCATGACCCTTCCGAGAAGAACTTTCAAACTGTCTTTGTAAACTGTTACTTCAGTGTCACTAAGAAAAAAGTTATTTATGTCAATATCTACATCTGGTGTAAACTCAGCAGGTGCCTCCGGAACAGCACAAATTTCCAGTATCACTCTATCCATTACAAAATTTGAAGCAAAGAAATGGTAATGCTTGTCTTTGTTGGTCATTCGTATATCATTGGTATTGACCCTTATGTCAAGATTATCGCCATTAAATTTGCCATTTTTTCCACTGCAAATGTCCTTGATTAAGTTTTCTTCAAGTGCTCCTCCTAGCTCCTTAATCAAATTTCTTTTTGACGAATCGGACATAGTAATGTGGACTTTATTGAGTCTCTGCATGAGCTACAAAGAATACAGCATAATAAATTATCAATTCTCATTTATTATACATTTACAGGAATGCATGCATTCTCCCAATTAGTGGATGTATTATATATATATATATATATATATATATATATATATATATATATATATATATATATATATATATATATATATATATATATATATATATTCTTTGTTTGCTTGTTGGTTTTGTGATTGTTTGAAAGATAGGGTATGTCAAACATTTTTTACCCAATTTCATTAAGTACCTTGTTATCTGCATGATATCGAATTGCTAAGGTTGAATACATTCTCTGTATTCCAGAGGCAAGGGGATCCCTGCTGTGAAGGATCATGCCATAAATGGTGGCCAGTGTTGCAATCTTTTTCTCTGAGGAATCAACTGTCCCTAAAGACATGGTTAAAATCTCAAAAAGAAGAGGGCAGTTTGCTTGCATTTCATTAACACATGTTGCAAAAATGTTGCACCCCTGCAGAATGTGTGCTCCTTTCTTGAGAAGGATACTTTTCCTCCCATAAATTAACTTGTCTAATTCTTTGTTGATTATTGTGGTACAATCACTGAAAATAAACCAAAAGGACAAATATCAAAATTTCTAATCTTATAAAATGACAAAATTAAAAAAAAAAAATTAAATTACTGGTAAATAATGTGAATATTGTAATATATAAAATACATTTAAGTATTTTAAGAAAATTGTTAAAGTACTATTTTTATGTACACAATCATTTATTAACTTACAAAATAATGAAAGTAATGTTTTATTAAAAATTAATTTTAAAGACATAAAAATTTTAAAGTAATGGGTTTCCAGGATTTGAACCTGGATGTTCTCAACTGAATGGCTGAAAACTTGCCTTGATACCCAGTGTATTGAATAACAATAATATATATACTAGTATATATGTAGATATATATGTATACTACAAGTAACAAAATGCCATATATGTTTTTCAATACAAACTGTTTCAACAATGGATCTCCATAAATTTGATAGTTCTATTTGACCATGTTTTCTCCTATGCTATAGCAGCATTCCATACATGTGATACCCTTCACTGGGAATAATCTGGAGAGATTTTTATGTGTTGAAATTCAAACAGCTGAAAAATAAATAACACATGCAAACTAAACTAAATTCAACAAATGTAGTGGTATATACAGATACAGCATAGATGATGCTCACAAAATTTATTTAGATGAAGGAAATTTCTAAAAATAACAACTTGACTGTATAACTATTTAACTGTATATACCACTGACCAGGAAGCATTTAACTTCATAAGCAGTCAACTTCAAAATAACAAGAAAAATTTAACGATGAATACTTTAAAGTGGAAATATCTTGACTTTGCCTTGCTGGTGCATAAAATAATCAGCGTTATCTGAGTAATTAAAATTACAAAAGCCTCATTTAAAAAAAAAAATGATTAGAGAGTGTATAATTTAAAAATTATATTTTTTCACACTTTATCAACACCCATTAAGTGGATCAAATACAAAGCACACATGTCAAGATATTCACACATGAAATAAAGCATGGAAAATTACAAGCATTACTAAATAAATTACTAACCTTTCAAAAATTGGATTTGATATTTTTTTCAGCAAACTGTCAGCTATGTTGTCACAAAATTTCTCTGACACAGTCTGTAAATCCTTTGGAGTATATGAGTGATCAGTTGACACAAAATGAAGTTTACGGCATGCTTTGGTAGAACTCGAGTCAGACTCCTCTGCATCACTTGCTGAAACTTTTAACTTCTCCACAGACCATTTCAAAATATGTTATAACTCACTCAGTTCAGTATATTAAATATATAGCCCTACACACTTATCATCAGTTAAGAGGTACAAGGTATAGGTGTCATTGCTTGTAAATACTTTATATGTTTATTAAAAATATCAGAGATAACTAATGAAATAACTATGTCCAGGATTAAGGTAAAAGAATGATATTGTAAATTCTCTTTCTTACTTCACCAACTGATCTATAACACGACTCCTTTTCTTAGTCTGGCCCGATCTTAACTGCGAGGGTGGTGTTTTGGCAGGTCTTTTACCAATATCTATGGGCGTGGTCGTTGTGGATGTTTCGGGCATATCACATTTACTTGTTTCACAAGCCTTTCTCACATTTTCAATAATGTTCGATATTAGAGACACAACTTTTAGACAATAATCACAAATATGTTTACTTTTGATTGGCGTTAAATCTACCTCATGATTCAATAACGAATTTATGGTCGATTCGGTTTTAAACAAAGCACACTTCTTGCTGGTAAAACAATAAAATTTACTTTTTGCTACTCCACAGCATACACACATCGAATAGCTGGGGGCCGCCATCTTTTCTACCATGTGACTGTAAATAGTGCGGTGATTTGCCGATTCCTACACAGTCTGCGTACGAGGTTATTTCTCTCTCGGAAAATGGCCGAGTAGTTACGAATGTATATTTCCCGTGGATGCATACAATATTTTCAAAAATATACTTTATGTTGGGTTAATTTTCGTTACAAATTGTGAAATGTACGTTACAAGGTACATAAATTGTTAAATTTAATCTTTTAAATGAAATTATCTATTTCATTTAGACCGTTGAAACATTAAAAACAAATAGCAATAAAAACATCAAATAAACCTGAATTGAAACATTTTAAAACGTGTACTCGCTTTTGATTACAGAATTTTTAGAAATGTCCGTTACATGGAGTACATATCCAACTAAAGATTATCAAGTTTTTAGGTCACCTGAGTCCATATGATGTTCTAGAAGTTTCCGTCCATATTAAGATCGGTGAATGATGAAAATAATTTACACATTTCCCTTGTTATTCGGTAATTACAAGTTATTTCTTTTATATCATTTAAATCAAGTTTTGATTGAATAATTCAGTGATGATGTTTTATGAAATAAATAAACGATTGCATGTTTTCAGTTTCATTAAAAATTGCCAGTAACTTAGATCCGCCAACCGGAACCGCCATTCTACTCACCTTTTTACTATTTCATGGCTGTTTATAGAAAATGAAAGTAGACTTTTAATTTAATATATGATACTTACTATGCGAGTGAAATCTGAATATAGTTTACGGACATCATCTTGTATCTAGTGTGTTCATAGAAGAGTTAGTATGAACTCTGGTGCAGCCGTTTCGGAGTTTATTTGCAAAATTTATTAATTTATAAGTATAGATTTCTCTATATAAAACTTCAGGCAGTGTGCTTTGTAACAATCGCCCTCAAATGTTCTATCTTGCCTCACATGAATAATTTGTGATTTGTTTTTTCCAGGCATCTCTGAAAGGGCAATTATATACTCTGAGGAAAAAGCAAATCAGACTGCAAGGCTGTCTCCCATCAGGTCCACATCGCCCAATTTCTTGTCGCATCTGCCTGATGGATGGCGGCAACCCCCCCAAAAAAGTTGCGAAATCTGGGATGTCCAGGCCCGTCCTACAGGCTGGGACTGTAGCAATCAGCACCCTGACTGTGCCTCTTAGCATGCGAAATGATCCCATAGTTCTTGCTTCAGCCTATAAATAGGTACTGGCAGGATACATTTATATCTGTCTGTTTTTCCATAGAAGCATCTTCACTGTACACATTCTCACACAGGATAAAATACTGCCATATGTAGATCTTCCTCGCAAGTTGACACATTGTATAACCATTTTTTTTTTACTGTTTATTGTACTCACTTGTATCCAGTGAAGCTCTTCAATTTTTCAGTTGCCTCAAATGTCAATAAAAATTTGGGGCCTGAAATGGACTATTTGAAAAAAAAAAGATTATGATCATTGTTATTGCAGGAGTGTTTTATTTAATAACATGTATGCTTGTATTATGCTGATTGTATGTCTGTCGCAGTATATGTGATGAATGTGTCAGACAAAGAAGTAAATACCACATTATTACTGTAAAGCACCGGTACCCTGTCTCTCTTGATTTCTTTTGCAATAGTGGCAGATAGAGCAAGAAATGCTCTGAAGAAAAAAAAATGCAATTCTCTCCTCCGAGTTCCAGACCCCTGACTTTAAATAATTAACATGTACATCCACATATCTCAGAAATTTAAAAAAATATATATATTTTTAAACTAAATGTACTGTTAATACTAAATATACTGTTTATTTGGCATCCCACTTAATATTTTACATTTACTTCCAAAATTACTTATTAAAGATTCTACCTTGATTAAGCCTGTCATCTGGAAATGTACTGAACTGTTCTAATGTTTAATGCTGTCAAACTTTATTATACCCCCGCTCCGAAGGAGAGGGGGGTATACTGTTTTACCCTTGTGTGTCTGTCTGTCCGTAACAAATTTTTGGTTGCAGTTTTCTCAGCATCTACTCATTGCAGATGCTTGAAATTTTAGCACAATCTTGTTTAGGCATGCTATTCGCTTCTTGATCGGAAGGTCGTGTGTTCGAATCACGGCCGTGACTGACCCAAGTCGATATAAAATAGGTAGCAACTGTTCCTTCGCCATGCGCTCGGCACAATGAAGTGAAAGTTGCGGGTCCTTCGGATGAGACCTTAAAAACCGAGGCCCCGTGTCACGGTAGGCTATGGCACGGTAAAGAACCCTCACTGCTCAATGGCTCTGAGTGCCGAGTAAAGGTCTAAATTTGAAGCCCACCAGTATATGGTGACGTCTCTATACGAGTGAAACATTCTCGAATGGTACGTAAAACATAAAATCAATCAATCAATGTGTTCCACATCGTATAAGAGGGTCGTTCAATAAATAATGCAACAAACAGTATTTCAAAGTAATTTATATATAAGTAGATCTATTTATTTTTATTTTTTCACAGTTGAAACGTTTAATTAAAGACCTCCTAATTACAGAAAACCCAATGAGTTTTCCTATTGTCCTCGCAAAGAAATTCACTTTTAAAGTATGCATTGTCACTACACTGAGCTGAAAACTGTTTAAAATGATCTCTGCAAAGATGAAAATGAGAGCGTATGTGAAAAGTGTGCTTCTTTACATTAATCGCCGAAGAACGCATATTAAAGATATGATTTTTATATGTGGAAAGAATAGTCTTTAACGATGTGCAGTTTTCAGATTGATTCAGAAATCCAAAAGTAAAAAAAAAGAAGAGTTAAAATATATATATGTGTAACTGGTCGATTGCAATTTGTAGGGGTAAGAAAAATTAACTGTGCTACGTACAACATATCTGAAAATGTCAGATTTACATTCAAATACATTGTTAGAACACTCAGCATTTCATCCTCATAACATTTTATAAAATTCTAGCAACGAAAGTGAATATTATAATATTTCTATCAGATTGGTGCCTTATTTTCATAAAATTACCTAAGAGAAAAAAAAACTCATTAAATGTGCCATCGGTCTATTTAAAAACAAATATTTTAACGAAATATGAGATTTATTAAATTTGCATGATAAATGACG